CTTATTCTCCCCCCACTTTTCAGTATAGAATTCTGTTTTTACCTTAGTGAGAAAGTGTAACTATATAAATGCAATGAAAACAAGAAAATAAAAGGAAAATTAGAAACTTTTATAGCTGGAATATCCACCCATTGGATAATCTGTACCAGCTTGATAAGGGTTCAAACCTCATACTTCAGCCCTTAATCTAACTTGATGAGTTTCCAGGACTACCCTAACAAAGAATGCTACCAATACAATCCTAAATAAGAATTAAGTGAAAGTGGCATGACCAACAAAAAAAATAGCACCATAGACTACTAAAAGAATTAGATAACAGGTGAGCATAAATAAAATCTATGTTTGAATATTCATTCCATCTTTCTTTTCATATTAAACACATAAGAAAAAATAACTTTGTAAAGATTTTAGTCAAATAAAATAGTAAGCACAATGGAAAAGATTCTATATTGGAAGGTAAGGCCAATAATGTCACTATTGTATTTCAATTACCTCAAATAACCTCTGTGTAAGTGCAACCTGTTTAATCTATTTTATGGTCTCAGGTGTCACATGTGTGTGTGTGTATATATATATATATATATATATATATATATATATATATATAATTTCAGTTTTCAGGGTAAAATTATCCTGCACAGAGGAATGAGGAACAAATACACAAACATGATGGCTACCTTATTAATGTATATTACATGTAAAGAAATACATTAATAAAAACAAATAGAGATAAGTTAAAACCAAGGAACAAAAGCATTTAAATGCAAAAAAAATTAATCTGTATATATCAAAAGGTATTGGAATGTATTGCAGAATTATATGGTAGTGTTGTATGTATATTGGGAGAACAAGTATTCCCAAAGAAAAAACTTTGATCAAATTTGCATTTAGTATCCTAACTGATTCATATACAATAAATAAATAGGGTAAAGGAGGCACAATGGAGTAATGGATAGTGGCTTGGATTGAGGAATCAGAGAGCTGAGTTCAAATTCCAGTTGAATCTGTTACATTCACTTATGTGCTAATACCATTGTGAAAGGTATAAATCCTCTTCTTTTCACCCTAACTATGGGTAAAGAGCAGGACAAACCGGATTCAATAGCCTTGGATGGCAACTGGTCTACTGCAGAAAGAAATGGCAACCCACTACAGGAAAAAAATCTGATATATGATCACATAAGTGTGTATCACGCATGGCACATAACTGATTGACCCTTAGTTGAAATTGACCCATATTATTGCAGACTCCCTATAAACAATTATTCATTTGTGCAGATTGGGACATGAATTATGTTATGATACATGGTGCAGTTTACTATCCTCCAATAATTCCAAAATTTGGTCTATTGCCAAGATGTGGCTTTTTTCTTGTTTGAAGAATCCTTCATAAAATTGAACATATGAAAAGTGATACTTGGCTGAACCATGAATTCTATCAGGTTGCAACTGAAACAGAGGGGAGCTTCACTAGTTACTTAAGAAAGTAGACTTGCAGCCATTTCAGATGCCACCGTTTTCATTCAGGTTTTTTGAAAAAAAACTGACTTAATAAAATTATTGAGCAACATTATCAAATTTTGGCCAGTGTGAGAATACCTCACCAACTAGATGTAAAATTTGTGTTAAACACAAGACATGATGACTGTTTAGAAATATATTGGATAAAATATCCCTATGAACCTTTTTATAATATGCTGCTGAATCAGTTACAAATGCAATAATATCATAAAATGCAATATTATCATAACAATTTGGATACAAGCCTGACTTAGAGTTGCTTGTTAGAAGCAATTTTTTGGCCAAATAAATTTTAGACGTGCTCCTTTATAGTATCCACCCTAACAAGGTCAACACTATGATAACAAAAATTTGCAGGAAAGGACATTGTCATCAGCATAAAAGTTTCCTGGAAATTGTTCCACTCTGGCTTGTGCACAAATTTTGCCTTTGTTTCTTTTTTGAGAAGAAGGTTCATCTTTTGAGGTTGATATTTGTTTGTATAAAGCAGCCCATTGCTTTTATCATTTTAGGTTTAATTCTTAATAAATAGAGACAATTTACCTGGTGAATTTTCTCCATTTATTAAGAACTTTTGGTCTGAAGAGATGAATATAGAAATATTCACAAAATAAATTATAACTGAAATGGATCTTTTAAGGTTTTCTTTTTGAATTATAATTTTTAATATATATAAAGGCTAGGATAGAGTCTCAAGCATTGATGGTGCATCAACTAATATTTATATAAGGCTAGATTAGGGTCTCAAGCTTTAAATGGCAACCTTCCTAGAGATGGTGTATCAATGAAAATACTGTGTAGGACTACCATGAGTGTCTGAATTGGGTGTCAGGAAAGAGCATCTAGCCTTGTAAAACCTTGTCTCAAATCTTTGACAAATCCTTTGTCAGGCAAGATCCACTTCGCTTTGTGCAAGATTAATCCCAGTTCTGGCTTAACAAAAAAACTATGGCTATGTATGTATCAAATATATCTTGTAGAAATGAAAACCTAACTACTGAATTGTTTTAAGTTTAATAAACTTTTATGTAAATATATAAATGCCTCATTTATCTTATATTTTTGTGGCAATGTTTTGATAGAATTTTGAATGGGAAATATGTCATTGCTTGCATACCACCTATACACCTGTACTCTCCTTGTTGACTTGTTTCAACTAGGTATGCATATATCTGGTGCTTATACACACAAACTGGCTGACATGTCTCCTTTGATTCTTGCTTTCAATATTAAGAAAAATCTAATCCGGTTTCATTTCTATGAAAATGTAACAAAGATAAAGTATAGAATTGATTCAAGTCAACTTTTGTTCACAATAATTTAAAATTTTTAATATTATCACTATAAATACAAGATAATGTTTACTAAAAGATACAGGAGAAAATCATATTTTCTCACTTAAGTGGAATTATGAAATTCTTTGCTATTTCTTTGCCTATTAAAAATAGATTTCGAATAACTTAATAGAAATTGTAATTATTCTATATAGAATAATTTTGCTTGGAGAATTTTAAACTTGTTAATTTTTTTGAATATTGTTTCAATAAGTGATATACACTGCTCCTTTTAAAAAATTCTAGATTAAATGTACCTCTTTGAATGTTGATTCATGAAGGAATTTATTTTAGTGTGCTATATTTCAATATATTTTTACATATTACAGTCTATCTGAAGTTATTGTACAAATCACAAACCTCTTTCCAAGATTTTGTTATAAAAACAAAAAAAAAAATCCAATGCTTTAAGATTTCTAGAGTATGTTCAGTTGTAGTAGAATTTATTCTGTAAAATATATTTTGGTTTTTCAAATTATGTCAGCCTTTGTTTCTGCATATTAATCATTGTGTATAAAATATTCAACTTGGTGTACGTTTTAGTTAATATAAACAAATTCAAGTCAATAAATGGATTCATATTGCCTAAAAGCACTTACAGAAGTTTATATATTACTTTATGATAAAATATCAAAAATAAATATTGGTTGCACTGAAAGAAAATTACATTCTAATTTACAAGTTTTATGATGACAGGTTTTTAAACAATTGCTTTATTCTGATGATATTGCAGTTACCATGCTTGTCAGCCTTTAAGATTCATGTTCTACTAAGGCATTTTTGTTTCAAATTTACTGCTGCTAATTGCAACTCTTCTGATCTCCAACCTGTAATATTTTTTAATACTTCCTTATAAGGAACTATTTGGCATTCATTGATCGAGCAGCGAGTGCTACTTTCAGTTAAAATTTATATTGTCTTTGTTAAAGCAATTTTTCAGGAAGATAGGTTTCTCAAGCCCAGTAATTGTTATTACTCTTTTAGGTATTGATGGGAACTACCTTCTTATCTTTTTGTTTGACATTAGATGTCAACATCTTCATGATGTTATTATTTTCTCTTTGAGTTACATGTGCTATCCAAAATGTAAATTGAATTAAAATGGTTTTAGTTTCAAAAACTTTGTATAAAACAGAAATATTGAATGAAATGTTTTATGTTACATTGTTTTCAACTTTAATATAATTGGTGTAGATATGAAGAATGTGTTTATTTTAGCAAGATTGAAATTATTGTCTTTCAGGTTATCCATTCTCTAGCAGAGAGAATAAGTGCTTTGATTTTGATTTGATTGTCCCAATGATATATGATCAGTGCTCAGAAAATAGAGAAGGCAACTTTTGCAAAATCCCATTGTGGAGGGAAAACTTCTGCAAGATTGCAATATAAAAGAATGAATTTATATTTAAAACCAGAGATAGAATGATATACAGTGGGCAGTAGAAATGTCTCCCACATAATTAGATAGATGAAGACACCATTGTCACTAACTAAGAAATATGGGAGGTATTTCTGCCACACTATCTATAATAAATATATTAATATTAAAGCTTAAACCTAACAGGTACTCTACCTGTTTATGGAGTGATGGTTGGAAGGAACCATAAAGTGATTTCCTTAGTACTGAGAACATGTCTTTGTAATAGGACTTGGAACATTGATAGTTGTTTAATAAATACTTAGCTTTTCTCGACCTATATGAATTTAATGTATCTGGGCGAATTGTCCAAATTGTCTTTACACGTATTTGCTGGATTATGCTTAATCATTGATTATAACCTGTCCTTCCTATGTAGTAAACATTACATTGACATTTGAAATGATAAATTACAAAAGTTATATGGTGGGGAGGTACAATATCCTTTTATATCAAAGTTAACATAATGTGGGGTTTACCAGGCAGTAACGGCTTTTCAAACCAGTAGAAATTTGCCTAGCAACTATCAATGGATGAATTCCTAGAACTGCACATATCTTTTGATTTTTACTTTCAAACTTGTTAAACTGTACAAAGCATATTTATTCAACAGAAGTTAGTAGTGATTGTAGATATTTTACCTGAGAATTGTCTTACTATCAAATGATCAAAAATTTAATGCTATTATATAATGTACTAAATTTTTATTCTTATCTGTTATTTTACAGAGACCAAAACAACCGTCCATTTTGCTTTTCTTTACACTACAAAAGTAAACCTTCATAGAATCATGATGTCAATTTCTGCCTCTCGTCATAAAATTCTTTGTTGCTTTGGCCAATATCTCTTCCAACAACGTGCTGTCCATCTAAGTGCCATACAATGTGTCTCGTTGAGTCGCAAGAGACGGAAAGTTGCTGTTCCCACCTTGAATTCCATCAGGGAGACAATGAAAGACTTTATTGGTGCTCAACGTCTCTATGCCGAGGGCACCTATGATCGGTCTGATTTAATAGATGTCTTACCAAAAAGCCAAGAAGACCTTCCTCCCAAAAGGATGAGTGATAGTTATTCAGAAGGCATCATTCCTTTAGCTAGTGACATTGCAACAAGTGAAAAATATTTGAATGTCCACAAGGCAGTTCGTTTTGGAAGAATACTGGAAGATCTTGATACCTTTGCTGTTTATATTAGTTATAAACACTGTAAGGATCCCACTGTAACTGGGAAGTCTCCTCTGAGCATTGTTACTGCTGCAGTTGACCAGATTACTCTTCACAGCCCTGTCCTTGCTGACCAGGATGTAAAATTATGTGGCAATGTGACTTGGGCAGGTCGAACATCATTGGAAGTGACCATGACTCTCGAACAAAAGCAGGAGGACACTGTAAAAAAGCTTTTGGAGGCACAGTTTGTTCTTGTTGCCAGAGATCCTGTGAACAAAAACTCAGCATTTGTCAATCCCTTACAAGCTGACACGGCTGATGAAGAACGCATCATGAAATTGGGAGAAGCAAATAAGATGAAAAGACAAGAAGAATCAAAGCGTTCCCTCTTGCTGATGGCACCGAATGAAAATGAACGCTTCCTCATCCATAAACTGTTCCTGGAGACAATCGACCCTAAAGCTGTCTCCTTCAAAGTTCGCATAAAACCTGAAAACTGTGTTTGGCTTTCTTCAACCATGTTGAAAAACCTCATCATTTGCCACCCCGAACAAAGGAATATGTACAATAAAATCTTTGGTGGCTTTCTCATGAGGCAGGCTTATGAATTGGGTTGGGCAAATTCTTTTATGTTCAGCCAAGAACGTTGCCAGCTCAACCAAGTGGACAGTATAATATTTCGAAAGCCAGTTGAAATTGGTGCTTTGCTCTTTTTCTCTTCCCAAGTTGTCTACACAGAAGGAAGGTTTATTCAGGTGAGGGTTCATGCAGAAAATGTGGATCCAACAACTGGGGTTCATGAAACCACCAATATATTCCAGTTTACCTTTGAGTCTAAAAATAAAAACATGCCACGAGTTATACCACAAACCTATGCAGAAGCCATGTTGTATCTTGATGGCAAACGGAATTTCATGTATTGATGCTCATGTCTTCATATTTTTTTTTTTCTTTTTTTTTCTTTTCCAGCATGAATCATATTTTTGCTATATTGGCTACTCCAAGGATATCATATTAATAACCAAAATTATTTAATATGCATTCATAAGTAACACAGCAGCTCATAATGCCTTTGTGGGTGTGCTGGTGATATAATGGATAGTGGCTCAAAATGAGAAATCTGAGTTTGAATTCCAGCTAAATTTGTTACATTCACTTATGGGCAAATACCTTGGAGAAGGTATGAATCCATCTCTTCTTCTCTTTTCCCTCCATGTATAGGTAAAATAGTAGGACTTGTATCTGGAAAAAACATTATCTCCAAAAAATTATTAATGCAATATTCACTCCCCCCAAAAAATATTTTTACAATCCAAAATATATTTTGGCTTTAAATACCTGATCAGGTTCATAAGAAGTAAAAAAACAAAAAAAAAAAAACAGCAAAAAAACAAATTGATCTATTATATCTGCTTTAGTAGTATTCAAAACTTTTTTTTTTTTACTTTTAAGCTTAATGACTAAGCAGTTGTGCTACCATTGAGTGATACAAATTTCCATTTTACAGATTGGTTTTGTGAGTTTATTACTGTAAACTTAGCTTGAGGAAGCACCAGTTCCAAGTTGCTTTTTTACTCCTAAAAGTGAATAGCATTTGAAATCTTCTGTGCTCTTCATATCTCTCCTCAGCTGATTTCCTTAACTTCTAATCTTAATAACCTAGGAATTAATTTTAATAGTCAGCAAAGTCCTACTGTAAGAAAAAATGTTATTCTAATTTTCCAGTGGTGATTTAATTTCGATTGGCAGCAAAAGTCTTGTTAAGTTTTATTTTAAAAAAACAAAAACCAAAAAAAAAAAAAAAATTATTTTTGTTATTGCTTAATATTTATTTAAGCAAAAGTTAAAATATTTTTGAGGTCATGGAAAGCAAATGAAAAAAATGATCTTAAATATAATTTTATTAACCCTATCCCAGGCAGGTTATTTTGGAGTTGTGAACAGAGGTGGGGTTGTCTGCCAACTTTAAAATGCTTTAGAGCTTCAATTGTTTGAGACTTTGCAGCATTATTTTACCTTTTTATCTTTTTATTTTATATTTTCATGGAGTCTGGAACAAGTGATGTGTGTTGGTGTAATTGATAGCAGCTCTGAATGAGAAATCAGTGAGCCAAGTTTTAGATTCATATCAGATTTGTTACATTTACTTATGTGCAAATACTCTTCAAAAAGCTATGAATCCATCACTTCCTCCTAGGTATGGGTTAAATAGTAGGATTTGTATCTGGAAAAATTGTTATTCTCAAAACATTTTAATTCACCCACAAAACAATAATTATTCTTAAATACCCTACAAAGAGCTGATAAATTGTAAAAACAATTTGGTCAATCAAACTAGAACTAGTGATGTCAGCAAATGTGTGAATTTGTAAAAGTAAATTGTAAATAAACCAAATGCTTCAAAGCAAAGAATTTATGTTGAATGTACTTTGAAATACTTCTGTACTGAAGTTATAAAGTATGTGTATTGGAAAGCTAAAGTGAGACTTTAATTTTCTAAAATTACAAAAATATGCAGATGTTAACAATTATAAAATAAAAAGAGTATTCACTATATTTATAATTATCTTTTAGATTTTTCCCCCCCTTGACAGTCTATTTTTAGTAACATGTAAAGTTTCAAACTAAAAAAAGGAGCTGTGACAATTAAAAGTTGTGCTGGAGTCAAAAAATCCTGCACTCCTACACTTGGGATAGGTTCAACAGTGAACCTGAAAATGTTTCTTTTTTTTTTTTTTTTTTTTTGCTTTGGTTGACATTATTTTGTGTCATATTCCAAATTTTTGTTATGTATTTTCTATTGTTACTGTATGTTATTATTTATAATGTTCATTTTCTTGAACAGATTTACTGTTGTTTTATTTATTTATTATGCTTGTAAATTTTGCAGTATTGTTTCTGATAATCTCATGTTGAGAAAAATGTTGCTTTTCACTTGTTATATGTGAACATCAGAAAATTATTGCCTTGCCGCCTTAGTTGAACAGATACTGCTGCTTAAATTTTATGATAGGTTTTTATAAGCTTAGAAGCTGGCAAAAAATATCTAAAATATTGGTTTGACCAAAAAGTTTATTGTTTATTAAGTAGAAAATTTACTTAGTAAACCGAACAAACTTTTTGGCCAACTCAATATATGTATGATAAATCTTTATCCTACAAGTACTTTGAAATATCTTTGGATTGCTTCCTAGCAATTCAAGCAGAACAGAACTTTTTGAAAGAAAAAGAAATTGTTTTGGCTGATTTATTTACTTATTCTTTTTATTCTTCTGATGACTCAGAATATAAAATATCTAATTTAATTTACATTTTTTTTTTTTGTTGTAATCTTTCTTAACATGTACAGTTATATATGTGTGAGATTTATTTTTATGGATTATATTTTTAACAGAATGGAATTTTATCTCCTTATCTACATATTCTAACAATCTTATTTATTCCATGTTTTTAGAGTGTTAAAGTCTTTATTCAGTTAGTTTGTGTTCATCTTTTAAACAGTTAATCATTAAAGAAAATCTGTTTTTTTAAAAAAGAAAAGAAAAAGACCCAAACAAGATTGGGGTGATACTGTAAGCCTTAAACAAAAAAATTCAAGATCACAGTTTTAATGGAAATTTGTAAATATGAGTAAAATTTGATAAATGCTTTTATTGGAATTACTTCTATGTGCTATGTCTCTTCATCATGTTGGCGATAATGGCACTCCACAACTTCCTGTCATTTGTAGCTCTTAATGTTTGACTTTTAGCCATCTCTCCCAAACCCTACCATGCCATCCATTCGTTCAAGCTCTCCAGGTACATTGTGCATTACTTGCCTCTAGCCCTCTTACCTTCAATCTGTCAGATTTTCTAAGCCCTCTTCATTCATTAAGTACCCCAGAAATTTCCACTGTCTCTTTTTGATGTTAAGCATAAGTGTCCTTCTTTTTTCCATTTTTCTCTAGAACTTCATTGCTTACATGTTTGTTCCATGGTATTCTCAGCATCCTTCTGTAGAACCATATTTCTGTTTTGTTTAACCTTTTAGTGCTTACTGTTTCACTAGTGGAACATATTTTAAGATATATATATTTTTTTGATAACAGATGATTATTACTTTTTATTATTTTATTGGTAATATACATGGAAAAGACTAAAATATAATACCTGCTTAAACATTGTATTGAAATACAATTAATGCTATAAAAAAGTCTAAAAATATATTGCACTAGTGGAACAAAGTTAATACAGAAATAAAATTAGGCACACACACAATGAGGAGGTGTTGAAAACCTAATTCCTGAAATCTGATCAAATGTCAAATTTCTTAAGCTTTCATATCTGTGTGCATGTATGCACCTTTACGTAGGTGAGTTATTTGTCCATTAGTGAGCTCTCCCGGTGTTGTACTAAGAATGACATTTACTTATGTGAGAAATATTGTTTAACACTTTCATTGTTTCTGAATATTTTATTGAGAAATATTGTTTAACACGTTGGCTCCCAACCCTCATTTCCTTTGTCGTCCCAGCGTCCCAACACTATATCTTAGTTAATTTTGGTACAAAAGACTTTGTTTTTAACATTGTTTCATAGGCAAGGATATCATAAGTTGTATTTATTACCCACGACCCACTGGTGTGTCATTTGGTACCTGAGTCCATTTTACAACCCAGAGTCTCATATGACCTACGTGAATGCATGATACAAAAAAAAAAAAAAAAAAAAAAAATGTCCCAAAAAAATAACAGTAAAAATTCCAAAAGGAAAACTAAATAAAAGAAAAAAAAAAATCAAAAATAATTCAATCTCGGGGTGGGAACTCTCGTTCTGGTATATCATGATCTCCTAAGCAATAAATATTCCACTTCTAGTAATACTCATAGAAAAGAAACTGGTAAACAACCCACTAGGGGGTTGTGTGGGACTTGCAAACATACCACCACAACCCACTTAAATTGCAATTGACTTTATAGGTAAATGAACTTTTAAATTTAGATATATTTAATATATATATATAATATATAATGTGTGTGTAAATATATAGGAAAGAACCATTAGGTTAATAATTCAAAGTTCTTTAGTATTTTTGTTTTTATTTTTAAAAAACAGTGCACAATACACAAGTAGAGCCTATATTATAATTATTTAAAAAAAAAAATATGATTCCATCTCTACATAAGTTCTTATGTTTCAAGAACAGAAACTAAAAACTTCAATTTAATTATAGAAATTAAATTAAAAGTAACTAGTTCTGTTTCATCCTCAAACAATTCCAAAATTAATTTGAGGATGAAACAGAACTAGGTAATATATATATATATATATATATATATATATATATATATATATATATATAATTGTTTTTTCACTCACAGTATTTGAACATGGTAGAGGATCAAGTGTTACCTTAATTTTATTTTTAGTTTATTATTCAGTAAGTACTAAACATTGTTTTTGATTTTATACATTTATAGCATAGCAACACAGTAGAGGATAAATTATCATTACTTAATTGGACCTTTAGTTTAATATCCAGCAACTATTAAACATAAACAAGACAATGCAAAGCAACACAGATTTTAATTATCATGTGAGTACAATGTTGTAAAATGAAATATGTCGATAATTATTTTAATTTTCTTTTCCTTCTTTTTTCTTTTTTAACAGTGTTAACCTTAAATTTATTATTTTTCATAGGTCATGTCAAATAATTTATTTCCTGTAAGAATTTCAAATATTCCACTTGATAACAGCTGGAATGTTTACTTGTTAAAATGAGATTCTGATCTTACTGTATTAACTTTTCTAAATATTTCAAATTTGTATAAATTACTATTTTGATAGGTTTAAAAAAACAAACATCAATATGAATTTTTAATAGATTCTTTATTGCAACTATTTGTAGTTGGCTTGCTAATTATGCAGTCACTCTCTCACAGACGCGATGTTGCCTCTCTCTGTCTTTTCTACAAATACTTCCATGGTAATTGCTCCGATGAGCTGCTTTCACTGGTTCCCAGACTCCATGAATTCAAGCGCCCTACGAGG